GTGAAAAAAATAAAAAGCCTTTTATTTAAGGAATAAATAATACCAACTCAGAGAAACTCTCGCAGACAATAGGAAAAGTGGGAACTTGCCCCAACTCATTTTATGAGGCCAGCATAATCTGGACACCTAAGCTGGACATGGACATTAATAGAAAAGGAAAATTACAAGCCAATCCCACACATTAGTGCAAACTCCTAAACAAAATATTAATGAACTAGACACAACAATATATAATGGAAATGTATCACGACCAAGTGGTACTTATTCCAGAAATATGAGATTGGGTTAACACTTACAAAATCAATTGTAGGAATTCCTGTTTCCAGATGGAGCAGAGGTACTGGATTTAACCCTCTGCCATGAAACCACCACAAAGAAAAAGAGACCACATAATAGAAAACAAAGAAACTGACAGGTACTTTACAAAAGAAGATAACCAAATGCCCTATATATATGTGTATTTCATATACACGAAAAGGTGCTCAACATCTTTAGTCCCCAGGGAATTCCAAGTTCAAACCACAGTAAGATATCCATCCCTACACTGCCACCGGAATGGCTAAGATAAAGGGGAAAAAAGAAAGAATAATAATACTGATGATACCGAGTGTCAGCAAGGATGCAGAGGAGCTAGACCTCTCATAGACTACTGATGAAGTAAACTTGTACAGTTTGGAAAACCAGCAGCACCTATTAAAGATGACCCTACATAAAATGAATGGCCTAGGAAATCCATAACTAGATTTATACCTCTAGAAATGTACATATATGAACATAAAAACCCATGTAAAAAATGTTCATAGCAGCATTATTCACAATGATTCCAAACTGGAAAACCATTCAAATGCCCAGCAACACAGAAAATGAATAATAAGTTAATCATTAATCATTGTATCTCTATATAATAGAATATTATATTGGAATAAAAAGGAATGTACTATTACAAGCAACATTCGGATGACTCTCATATATTGCTGAGGTAAAAATAAATTAGACATCACAAAGTATATACTGTATGATATTATTTTTAAAAGGCAATCCTAATTGGTGGTTATAGAAGTCAAGATGGCAAATACTTTGTGGGAGTGGGGGTAGTGGGCTAAGGGGACATGATGTGGTTACACAGGTGTGTTCACTTAGAAAATATCTATCAAGCTGTTTACTTAGTATCTGTGCTACCAAATGTTATACTTTAATGAAAAAGTTTACTGTAATACATCTTTCCATAGCAAACACTTGCCAACCTGACAGTCTTCTATTGACAAACTTTAGTCATCAAATTAGATGTTTAAATACATTCTGGGGGCACCTGGGTGGCTCAGTCGGTTAAGCACCAACTTCGGCTCAGGTCATGATCTCACGGTTCGTGGGTTCAAGCTCCCTATCAGGCTCTGTGTTGACAGCTAGCTCAGAGCCTGAAACCTGTTTCAGATTCTTTATCTCCCTCTCTCTCTGACCCTCCCCTGTTCACATTGTGTGTGTCTCTCTCTCTCGGAAATAAATAAAAACATTTAAAAATCTCATATATATACATACATACATACATACATACACATATACATACATACATACATTCTGAAGGTTTAGAAAAGAAAACCCAGTGAGATGCCTTCTATCAGTTACTGGTTTTCATCCACCTAGCATAATCCCCATTTCCAGTTCTTCTGATACCACATCTCATCTACTGATCACAGAGTGGTCAAGAGTGTTAACAGAAATTGGTCCGGGAACACCACACCACAAGGTACCTAGCAAACAGCCAGGTACCATTAAAAACACTCAGTGAATATTTGTTGAATAAATGAGTGCACAGAGAAAGAGAAACAGAAGGAAGCAGAGAGACACGTTATAGTCTTCTCTGAGGGTCAGAATTTTACTATCAGGCCTGTCTACTGCCCACTAGAAAGTAAAGTCCTCAAGGACCTTGACTTTGTCCATTTCCGTCACTAGTGTCATAAGTTATATGGTCAGGGATCTATTAAAGTGTTTATCTACTTTAAACGTACCAAATTCCTCTTTAAAGACTGCTGTGGTATGTTTAATACGTGTCTTTAAAAATACTTCATATTGTTTTGGAAGCAAGCTTGAGACTATCAGTTTCTAGGTTTGGTTTCATTTTTTAGTCAAGAAAAGAGCTATGATTTACTAAATGGCCAGGTTTCAAATTTACTGCATCTTCAGCTATCTAGCACTCTGATCCTGCTAATGGCCTTAATCCATTCTGATCACAACTACCAACAATTGCTATTTGCTCCCATTTTAGCTTTCTTAACATTTCTTGTTTGGGTTCTCACCCAAATACAAAGGATCTCCTTTACAAGAATTATGTTAACTACTACTGAATCAGTAAATGTATAATTCAACTCACCTACTTCACACTTTTTTTTACCTGCTGGGCTTTCTTATTCTTTCAAAGAGTTGACTGTATACAGCTGGGCTTTCTCACTCTTTCAAAGAGTTGACTGTATACAGCAATAACAACAGTTTCTAACATTTATTGAGCAGTTAACATATGTCAGGTACTATCGTTAGTTTTTTATATATGTTATTTCACTGGGTACCCTTTAAAAGTGTTAAGTCAGATACTAAGATAAGAGTTTCTCTCCTTAAACCATTCTAGTAAGAAAAATAACAGGGGCCCTTGGGTGGCTCAGTCAGTTAAGCATCCAACTTAGGCTCAAGTCATGATCTCGTGAGCCATGTGAGCCATGCGTCGGGCTCTGTGCTGACAGTTCAGAGCCTGGAACCTACTACGGATTCTGTGTCTCCCTGTCTCTCTGCCCCTCCCCTGCTTCACACTTTGTCTCTCTCTAAAAAATAAACATTAAAAAATAAATAAATAAATAAAAAATAAACATTAAAATTTTTTTAATTTCAGAGAAATTAGTAAGCTGGTAATAAATAACTTAAAAAGCAAATATCTGCTAAACTATTTGTAAAAAAAAAAAGAAAAAGAAAAAAAGAAAAAGAAAAAAAAGCAAATATCTGCTAAAATCTATACATAATTGTTACTCTACTATGTTTGGTTTAAAAACCTAACAACTAACTAGCATATGAACCCACTATAAGACTGAGATTTATATTAAGTATCAATCTAAAAGGACAAAGAATATTTTAAGAAGTATTTACTAAGCATACAATCATAATTCCAATAAAAATGGAATTTTGCTCACCAAATTATTTTGTGCCTTCTGACTTATTAAGGTGTTAAAGGTATAATAATGCTAATTTTAATTAGGACCTAGAGATCTAACCACAGAATTTAAATTGAATTCTAAATCTGAGGTCTCTAGTCCATTCAATAAAGGACTCTCACTGAAATTATCTGATATGTATTTACTAAATGCATCTAGTGAAAGGGAATTTATTACTTCTATTTTCTAAACAGCTGTAATTTGAAGGAAGTTGTTAGCATTCAGTCAAAATAGTCTTCACTATTATTTCTACTTATTTGACTTAATACCCTACATTTCAAAGAAAAGTCTAATCCCCCCCCTACCACCACCACACTAACCTGTCAGTAGACAATTACATAATTTCCATCCTACCTTCCTCTTGATACCAAGTCTACTCTTTTCTAGGCTCAAAAATTTGTGGGGCCCCTGGGTGGCTCAGTTGGTTCAGCGTCCAACTTCGGCTCAGGTCAGGATCTTGCAGTCTGCGAGTTTGAGCCCCTTGTCCGGCTCTGTGCTGACAGCGTGGAGCCTGGAGAATGATTCAATACTGTGTCTCCCTCTCTTTGTTCCTCCCCTGCTAGCACTCTGTCTGTCTATCTGTCTGTCTGTCTGTCTCTCTCTCTCTCATAAACAAATAAGCAATAAAAAGAATTTTTTTGTTTCTGTATTCATTTCACCAGACAGCAGTTTCCAGACTTTTCTTCAGTCTCTCATTAGGATAAAATATGGTGTACTTATTATTGTGATTCTTTTGGACCCTCCACATACATCCCTGCATATAACCTAATGTTACACTTGTGTTTTCAGCAACAGTTTACTGTTGATAAACACTCCACTGAGATCAGTCACACAGCACTGCTGATCTTCAAAATCCTTCAAGTTAACAAAACAGGAACACTGAGGCCTTGCAAGATTAAATAATATTAACTTAACGACAGAAGCAGATCTAGAATCAAATCTTCCAACTGCTAATGCTATCTTCTTGCCAACACATCAGAATCAAATCCGCAGTATAAAATGTAGCAATGAAAGTACCGCAAGTTGTAAAATATGTGATATTCTTATAACATATAGAAAAAAAATCATTAAAGATTTCCTTCAGGGTATTAACTACAATCCTCAACTTTTGGTAGGATTACTAGTATTTATTTTGTTTTACTCATCTAAATTTTTTAGTCTGCTTTAAGAAAAAAAGTATCGTTCCTATAATGAATATTCTTTTCCATTTAAAAAAAAGGCAAAAGGAAAAGGCATAATGACATCCTTGGTGTGTGATCAAACTTACTTCAAGTATAATTTTAATTTTAAAAAGCTTAAAATACGGATGATTGGTTAACTTACATTTTTATTTCAAAATATATCTTGTAAAAATGTTTTGTGACAATGGTTTTCTATCATAACATTATGGTTTGAAATGTTTAAAAAACTGACACGAGCACATGCAAACATAAAATTAATTTGTTAGTACAAACAGAACGGGAATGGTCAAATCATTCAACACTGAGCCATTAGTATGTTAAGTACTTAAAACCAAAATGTCTGCCACTATGATGTGGTGATAAAATATACAAATAAGTCTATTAGTCAAAACCAGCTAAATGAACTTTAAAAAGCATGAAGATTATGATGAGTTTCAAGCACTAACTGCAAGAACACATGTCAAATCTGAATGTTAGGTGACAATTCAGCAATCAGGGATGGCACTTATGTAAGCAAGCAGCATGAATGAACACATACTTGAAAATTCCAGGTGACATTCAGCTCTTACTACAAAAGGGAAGGATTCCCCCCATTACAGAGGCACTGATATGCTGCCCTCTGTACCTGGCACATCCTGGGGGAGCTCAGATGCCACCTTCTTCTCTGCCATGTTGCTGCTATCGTGGGTTTCTGAGAGACACCCCACGGGACTCCTCCCTTCAGAGGGACGAGTCTCTTCTGGAGAAGCATTTGTTGTGTTGTCGCCAAGATTTGCTGACACAGAGTTACCTTTATCCCCAACTTCTGTTGGCTCTACAGTAAAATGCACAACAAAACTTTAAAGATATCCTTTAAATTGCTCTAGGACAAATGGCCACATTCAATCAACTACTAAAAAATGAATGATAGCCAAGAAAACCTGCTTTTATTTGACGGCCATTTTGAAGCAATTAGATTCTGGGCTATTTTTGCAGTAAGTAATCCAAAGAGTATTTAAGAATATTTCAAATATTAAGAATGTTTAAAGTAATTAATATAAAAATGAACAAATCACATACAAAAGTGTATATTCTGGTATAAAAATAGTGATTTTTCACCAACAAATCTTATAGGGAAAGGGCACCTTTTTAGGAAGTATAATAGAGATATAGGTACATTATAGCAAATTCACCAATACATAAAACTCATTACAATGGTTATACACGTTACAAGAGGAAAGGATATCCTAATTTCTTTAGAAATATAAAATTAAAGAGGTATTAGTAATAAAAACAAGGATGTATTTTCATTTTGAAAGTAAAACTGGAGGTTTCATAAGTAACACTGATTAAATATCACTTTCTAGCCAAGTAATTTTTTTACCCTCAGATTTTCCTTGCTCAGGATCATCATCTGGCACCTTGTCGTCACTGGCTTTTTCAAGGGACTGGTCTTCAAACTCCTCCCTGCTTTTCTCAGCCTCTTTGGAGTTGTTACTCTCAGTCTCATTCTTGTCCTTTTCTATTTCTTCTGAGCTTTTAACAATATCAATGTCTCCTTTTTTGGCTCTTATGGATTCCAAAATTTCATCTACAATAAAAACCAAAAAAAATTTGTTTCCAGGTATACCAAACGTACAAGTACTACAAATGTCACTTAAGAGTTTCAATACAATTATTAAAGTTACATATGTCCAAACACTGGGACTAGGAAATAAGGATCAAGATTACCGACACAATACTGATGCCTATAGAATACAACGAATGTGCTAATCTTCACCTGTAGCAAATATATCGTAGGGGCACCTGGCTGGCTCAGTCAGTTAGGCATCTGACTCTTAGGGTACCTGGGTGGCTGCGTAGTTAAACTCAGGCAGGTCATGATCTTGAGGTTTATGAGTTCGAGCCCCATGTCGGGCTCTGTGCTGACAGCTTAGAGCCTAGAGCCCGCTTCAGATTCTGTGTCTCCCTCACTCTCTGGCCCTCCCCCACTAGCGTGCTCTCTGTCCCCTCTCTCTCTCAAATAAACAAACATTAAAACAAAATTTTTTTTAATAGAAGTACATTGCATACTGAATTACACTGAAATATAATATGCTCATTGTAGGGGCGCCTGGGTGGCTTAGTCGGTTGAGCGTCCGACTTTCACTTGGGTCATGATCTCGCCGTTCGTGGGTTCGAGCCCCGCGTCGGGCTCTGTGCTGACTGCCAGCTCAGAGCCTGGAGCCTGTTTCAGAGTCTGTGACTCCCTCTCTCTCTGACCCTCCCCTGCTCATGCTGTCTCTCTCTCTCCTAGAAATAAATAAAACATTTAACAAAAAAAAAAAAAAAAAAATGCTCACTGTAGGAAATTTGAAGAATATAAATAGGATACCAACTATAATTCTACTATGCTAGTTGGTTAATTTTTGATAAAAGCTGGTCTATTAGCTAGTTATTTAGAGAAAAATAATTCAAGTACCTTGATGACCCAGGTACTGTTTTTGCATGGTATGTTATTTAATTCTCCCATTCTCTAGTATTCTATCACATGATAATCCATAATGGAATTAACCAATTCCTCTATATTGGACAGTTTTAGTTTTTCACATTGCCCTAAATCAGACCACTGAACATTTTGATTATATATTCCATCTTAGTTTTGTTCGTTAGTTAAGATGGTACTATCTATATAATTTTATAAATAGGCAAGCTCACTCTAGAAAATATTTCCAATTTAACATATTTGATAAAAACATACCCAACACTGCTTTTTAAGGGACTGGAGAGTTCTTTATTATCATACTAAAAGCTGAGAATGCACGAGTAAGAAGAGATTTGTCTTTTTTTTAAATGTTTTTTATTTATCTTTAAGAGACGGAGAGAACATGCAAGCGGGGGAGGGCAAAGAGAAAGGAAGACATAGAATCTGAAGCACACAGCAGGCTCTGAGCTATCAGCCCAGGGCTCAAACCCATCAACAGTGAGATCATGACCTGAGCCAAAGTCAGACACTCAACTGACTGAGCCAGCCAAATGCCCTGAGATTTGTCAATTTTAATACCATGATGCATGAAAGAAAACTAAGAGGGACGTAGCCTCACTGAAATTAATAAAACTTATTGTTTGATCTACTGTTTGGGGAGAAAGAAGTGAGAAGGGGATACAACCTCCCCAAAGAATTCTGACAACTAAAACTTATCTGATGAAAATGTTACATATTTTTCTAAGCAGATCTAACAGAAAAATACTTTCTACCACCAGATATGAATAAACACAATCATCGGTAATTAGTCTGCTAGTTTCTGAAGATGAAGAATATCTGTATGCAACAGCATTTGTGTAAACAGTAAGACCATCATTCTCAAAAAAATACACATGAATTAAAGACACTACTGTTGCAGAGCGTGTGAGAACAGGCTTGGACACAGCTTGAGTAGATATACTTATTAAATAGACACATTCTACTTTAAGCAAATGGAAACTGGGGAAATTTTCACTAAACAGAGAATAGGAAAATTAATAGGATTACATGTATAGCAGATAACGTATATAGAAGGACACAGCCAGGCAGCTAAAGTGTACTTTCAAATTCTTATTTAGTCATTTTGTCTAAGATTAAAATGCACTATTAGAAAACACAAGTGATACTTATTAAACATGACAAGTGTATCTGGCATGATGTTAAAAATGGCACTAACAGTCGGCTCTGGAAAAAGGTAAGGTAAAACTGGGGATTTTGAAGGAGATTGACTTTTCACTGTATACCCTTCTGTACTCTTTTAACTTTTACAAAAAATCATATGTATTTATTATCTTTTACAAAGCAAAAAGTTGAGCAACAAAGTAAATCAGGTAGTACTGAAATATAACCCAAACTATAAAGTAAATATCCATGAGTCCACACTGATATAAATAAATGACTGAACAATAAACTAGGAGACCAGACAAATCTCCTGTGCAGAAAAATCCCCAATAATTTATGTAGACGGCTGCTATCCCCAGGAGGTGAAGCCTAACTCCCCCCTCCCCAAGAGTGGGCTGTGTAGTGACTTTCTTCCCTGAAGCACAGCATGGGTAGGACTAATTTTATAGGGGAGAAACTTGACAAATGCTTGCTACCTGAGCGAGGTTAACATGATCAGTGATAAGTCATGCTGATAGCACATAATCTTGATATGAAGATGAGACTAGCACTTCAGCTCTGTAGTCTTCGTCCCAAAATCCATAATCTCAGTTCGGAGAAGAACATGAGACAAATCCAGATTGAGGGCATTCTACCGAGTACCTGACCAGTACCCATCAAAACTGTCAAGGTCATCAAAAATAAGAAAAGTCTCGGGGCATCTGGGTGGCTCAGTTGGTTAAGCATCCGACTTCAGCCCAGGTCATGATCTCACAGTTCGTGGGTTCAAGCCCCATGTCGGGCTCTGTGCTGACAGCTAGCTCAGAGCCTGGAGCCTGTTTCAGATTCTGTGTCTCCCTCTCTCTCTCTGACCCTCCCCTGCTCATGCTGTCTTTCTCTCAGAAATAAATTAAAAAAAAAAAAAAAAAAACATTAAACAAAAACAAACAAAAAAAAATTAAACGAAAATAAGAAAAATCTGAGAAATTGTAACAGTCTAGCAGAACCTCAAGGGACATGATAAGTAAATGTCATGTGGTGTTCTGGATAAGATCATGAGACAGAAAAAGGTATCAGTAAAAATAAGGAAAAACAAAGTATAGACTTCAGGTATTATAATGCATCAATATTGGCTCACTACTTATGACAAAGGGGTCACAATGATAATGTAAGATGTTATAATAGGGAAAAGCCAGTGCAGAGTATAGGGAACGCTCTGTTCTACCCTAGCAACTTTTCTGTAACTATAAAACTATTCTAAAATTAAGCTTTATTTAAGATAAAAAAGAAAGCAAAGACTAAATTTTACAAGGATACTATTTCTTATCATTAAAAATAGGATTCCTACTAATAATGTAACTTGAATTAAAGAAAACAATTGGGAGAGTATTAGTAATGACCGAAGCAAGACACAAAACGCTAACATGCACAGCACCCTAATTTATGCTGAGATGAACAAGATTCTTTCGGGAAAATGAAAATATTAAGAATTAAAATATACATCCTTGAAATTTTAATATTTTCAAGTTTTGTGGTGATTTAATACCAAGAATTTATCTCAAATTTAGTAACAAGCAAAATGAGAAAATTTCTCTCTTACCATTAGCTGCCGCCAGAAAGGATTTGTTACTGCCCCGAGCCTTATTGGTCAAATCTTCAGTTATGTCCATGTGTCGGTGGATTTCTTCACGCATTTCTTCCAGAATTTTGCACAGTTCTGCTTCCCAGTAATCTTTATCTAGACAATCAATTAATTCTGCAAGTTGGACCTTTGTGCTGTAGTACCAAATTTTCTTCTCATTTTCATTTTCTGTATCTTCTTCTCTGTATAAAACAAGTACAGAAACTTTCTATGTTAGATGTAATGGCACTGATTTGACAACTGCCATCTACCCAATGAAAGTTAAAATACGAAATACAAACTTCGCACATTAAAGCTCAGTATATTTGATCATAAAAATCTCCTCAAGTCTCATTCAAACTCAAGTTACTTTTGTTTTAGTTGAGCAATCTCTAAATATCTGGATTTCCTAACCCACAGCCACTTAGAATAAAATAATTTGTGGGGAACCTGGGTGGCTCAGTGGGTTAAGTATCCAACTCTGGACTTCAGCTCAGGTCATGATCTCATAGTTGTGAGATTGAGCCCTGCATCAGGCTCCACACTGGGCATGGAACCTGCTTAGGATTCTCTCTCCCTCTTCCCCCTTTGTCTGCTAACTCTCTCAAAAAAAGAAAAAAAAAATCATTTGTAACAGTGGGGAGACAGGAATTAGTATAGCAGCAGAGAAAGGAATCTAAAAATATGACACACAGAAGCAGGACCTCAAGGGGCACCTGGCTGGCTCAGTGGGAGGAGCATGCAACTCCTATCTCGGGGTCATGAGTTCGAGCCCAACATGGGGTATAAAAATTACTTAAATAAATAAAACTTGAAGAGAAAGAAGAAAGAAACTGGACCTAAAATTTCAAAGTGTGGGAGTACTTGGTGAAGGATAGTCTTGGTTATACTTCAGTCGACTTTGATATCATCACTGTAACCATATAGATAGAATTTTAACCAAAATATTTAAACTATGCTCATAGCAGGTTGACACTACAATGTTCCAGTTTAGTAGGACATTTCCATCGACATGGTATAAATGCTCTCCTAAATTCTGGAATGATCTCAATGAGCAGTAATGTCTCAGGTCTCTTCCTTTCTTATGGACAAAATTTGAACTGGGGAGAAGAAGAGCAGCCCCCAGCCCTGCCTACATCTCTCCAAAGGTCCTACCCACTCGAAACGGAGGTGTAGACCTCCACGGGGATGGCCACTAACTACAAACACAAGGCAATTCAGGCCTATGACTGGACTGTGAGAAATACATGTGATGAAATTCTTTCATTCAAAAGGAATCCAGGAGCATGTGTGAGGTACCTGACAAGGGTCGAACTTTCCTGGCTGCTCAACAGCAAACTCACAAAGCTGAAAGAACTGGGCTTTAAGAAAGATCTAGCTTTACGGGCATCTGGGTGGCTCAGATGTTTGAGCATCTGACTTTGGCTCAGGTCATGATTTCACGGTCTGTGTGTTAAAGCCCCACGTCAGGCTCTGTGCTGACAGCTCAGAGCCTGAAGCCTGCTTCTGGTTCTGTATCTCATCGCTCTCGGCCCCTCCCCCACTCACACTGTCTCTGTCAAAAATAAACATTAAAAAAATTTTTTTCTAAAAAGAAAGATCTGGCTTTAAAACGGGTTCAGGTATTAATGAGACCTGCAACCGTGGACAAGACATCACCTCTCTGAAACTCTGAGCCTTACCTACCTGCTCAGATGGGAATGAATGGAATCTATTTTCAGGGCCAGTGTAAGAATTAGAAGATTATAAATAAGGCATAGATTGCAGTACCCAGGCACATTGTTAGTGATCAATAAACATAAAATATGATTATTACTATTAAGGTAGTAAATAAATAAACATTGAGCAAATTTCCAGGAATGAGTCATTCAGTAATTCTAAAGAAAGAAGGGACATATCAAGTCATGGATAAGTAAATGGATATCGAAATTATCTAAACTTTTAAAACATTAATTTAAAAAAGAACAAAGCGAGATAGCATTTAAGTTTTATTTAAGTAATCTGTACCCCAAACGTGGGGCTGGAACTCAGAACCCTGACATCGTGTCACATGCTCTTCCGACTGAGCCAGCCAAGCACCCTTTATTTGCTCTTTAAAATCAGCATCTGCTAACATATGAAATTAGGGTACTGCTCTGTTAGAAGCTTCCTAAAAAAACTGCTGAAAATCATCTTTTTAAAATCTGCTCTATATGGGTATTTTTACTGACTTCTTATGACTGAGTGATGACAACAGTCTTATCCCAATTTACAGTGTTAAAGATGTCAGAGTCCTCTAATCAAAAAGACTAATAAAATGCTTTCAAAAGGCACTACTATATCAAAATTCTAATTAAGTGACAATATCAAATCAGGAAGTACTTAATGAGCTTTGACTGAGCATAAGTGTTACAGGGCAGTTTGATTCTTTATTTTCTAAAATATCAATCTTAAGCATTTCACTTGTTATAAAGATGTTAAATTCTTTCTCTTACAATTTGCTTTCTCCTCTTTATTCAGAAATACCTATCAATTTCAACAAAACAAGAAAAACATTCCATATGAAAACATTTTGGGGTTAGAAAACATAATTTACAAGCATAAGATTTCAACATGAAAATGGGAAACTATGGGAACAAATTTAATTAAATGGACATTCTATTTTGTTCAAATACTCACACACTATTGAAAAGGTTCCTAACAGCTGACTTAATCCTTACTGGCACCTGCATAATTTCCATTTAAACAAAGAATAATTTCAATTTTAATCTTAATTTTCATCTGAAAGGAAAACTCACTACTTCATATAACAGTCCATTCTAGACTAGAATTGCCCTTTTAGGAATTTCTTCCTTTTAATGAGATGACTCAAACCTAGTATTTCCACCAATTAGGCCTGCTTCTGCCTGCTTGAGTTACGTGTAACAAACCTAACATCTGCTCCACACACAGTCCTTCAAATCTTTCACATCTATAATTTTACTGTTTTTGCTTTTCAGGCCAAACATGCTCAAATACTTTAATCATTCATTTTTTTTAAGTTAATGGATTTTGAGAGAGACAGCACAAGTGGGGGAGGGGCAGGAAGAGAGGGGTAGTCAGAGAATCCCCAGATCTGTCAGCACAGTGCACGATGTGGGGCTCGAACTCACGAACCATGAGATACTTATCTGAGCCAAGACCCAGAGTCAGACGCGTGACTGAGCCACCCAGGCACCTTTAGTCATTCTTGTCAGCACATTTTCCAGTCCTCACTACCCTGATATTCTTCCCCTATTTAGGTACCCAGTAACTGTTTTTTATTCTGCTCTTCAAAGGTAATACACAACACTGACAACTTTTTTCTTCTTGAAGCTATAGAAGGATAAATTTGTTAAGCATAACGTAACAAAAGAGAGTGAATAATAACTGCTCATGTTTTCAAACAAAAGCTGGTTTTTATGTTTGTTTTTTTCTTTAAAGCAATGTCTATGCCCAATGAGGGGCTCAAACTCACGGCCTTGAGATCAAGAGTTACATGTTCTACTGAACGAGCCAGCCTGGCACCTTGTGAAAAGTTGCCCCAATACCTGTGGACTTGGGCACATTTATAAAATTTATATAATCAGGAGTATTATATAATTGTTATATATATAGTATATAATTATATATATAGTATATAATTGTTCTAATTATAAAAGTGACAAATGCTTTCCTATATAAATATACATTGACGTGTATGTATACTTGGTTTGGGGGTTAGAACGTGGTTTCTATAGACACCCTGTCCCTACAGCACCCAAGTGTCCCTTCTGTACACCCAAACTGGCCTGGCTTTCCTAAGGACACTAATCAGCTCAAAGGAGCTCCCAGGGCAGCAGGGAAGACAGGTTGGAATGAAAACATCTGCCAGAAATATAATTACGAACAAACATAAATATTACAGGTCTCCATGTTAGAGTCTGCTTGGCTTTTACTCAGGCAAGACAAGTAGGAGGTTAATGACTAACAATAAGTTTCAAGTTTCATTTTTAAACAAACCCACAGAAACTAAGAGTAAGGAACACTAGTAGCAGGTTGAAAATAGTATCTCTCCAAAATTTATGTCCATCTGAAACCTTAGAATGTGACCTTATTTGGAAATAGAGTCTTTGCAGATACAATTAGCTAAAGATCTTCAGGTGAAATCTGGTATCCTTGTAAGTGGAAGAAAAGACACAGAGAGACACACAAGAAAGGTGGTGTGAAGGTGCGGGCAGAGATTTGCATGGTCCATCTATCTATAAAAGCCAAGAAACGTCAAGGACAGCCAGGGACCACTAAAGCTTGGAACAGTCTCTCTCAGAGTCCCCAGAAAGAACCAATCCTGCTGACACGGAGGTTTCATTTCAGGCTTGTGGCCTTCAGAACTGTGAGAGAACAAATTCCTGTTGTTTGAAGCAACTCCACGTATGGTGATTTGTTAGGGCAGCCCTACGAAACAGCTTTCGGTGCAGGGGAAATGAAGCCCTCTGACAAATACCTAAGAATGGGAACGTGGCTCTGGAACTGGGGGACGGTAAAAGGCTGGAAGTCATTGGAGGTACTGGATAGAAAAGGCTTAGGCTGCCTTGAAGAGAAAAGGAGGTAAGCAGAGATCGGAATTATGTTGCTAACACGCCAAGAACACACGGGCCACTAGAAGCTGGAAAAGGCAAGAAGGGATTCTTTCCTAGAACCTCCAAAGGAACACAGCCCCACCACTGCCACCCTGATTTTAGACTTCTAGCCGGCACGACTGCCAGAGAATAACGTTCTGCCACCCAGTTTGTGGTACCTGGTTACAGCGGCCACCAGAAACTAATACAGCTATGGATTTATTAGCAGTTAAAGCACCAGCTAGGTCAGGCAGCCTGAACGGGTCAGGAACACACGTTCTGTACCCAGAATACCTGGGACTGAATCCTGATTCTGCTACTTACGACTAGTTGTGTGACACTGAATACATTATTTAACCTCTCTATGCCTCAACTTCTCTGTCTGAAAAATGGGGTGGCAACACTTCTGTCAGAATGCAATTGTAAGGACTGAGTTCAAATACATAAAACACTTAGAACGCTGCTGGTGTCTACTGCTACTATTTTCTTCATCTTATGAAGTATGTGATATCTACCTTAAAACAAATAATTACAAGTAGGATGGGTGTTTAAAAAAAAAAGGGGGGGGGGCACCTGGATGGCTCAGTCAAGTTGAACATCCGACTTGCTTTTGGCTCAGGTCATGATCTTGGAGTTGGTGGATTCAGGCCCCAAGTTGCCTGGGATTCTCACTCCCTCCTTCTCTCTCTGGCCTTATCCCACTCACGCCCTTCTCTCTCAAAAATAAATAAGCTTAAAAAAAAAAAGAAAGAAAAGAAATCTTTCAAGGTGCAAGAGTGAAAGAGGATCAGGGAAAGAAAGTCCTAGGAAATGGCATATATAGGCCAAGACTTGAGAATAAGCCAAAAGGTTTCTAGATGTTTTAGTTTGCTTTTTATTTATCTTGTTTTGGGTGGTGGGAAGCAAGAGAATTAAATGTACAAAATTAGGGAACTGTGAACTTTCTGGTAAGAGCAAGTGGAAGCAACTGGAAAGTTTTTCAACTTGAGGGAAAGAGAGACCTGATCAAAACTGCTGAAATCACCCAGCTATGGAACAGAGACTAGAACTAGGGAGTGAGGAGTTCCACACAGACCACTTCGGCTACTAAAGGAGTCCAATCGAGATGATGGTAAGGGCAGCGAGAATGGAGAAAATCAGATTCAATATTTAAGAGGTAATTAAAAGGTACAATAAACAATACAAGAAAACAACAAAAGCCTATTCCTGAGCTGGTGCCATGGTGATCCCATATACTACAAATGAGATCAATGGGTGAAGGGTAGGGAACGTGGGGGCAGTGATGAGTTCAGTTTTAGACATGCTGTGTTTGAGGAGCCTGCTACGTGAGCGTGTCCAGGAGCCGAGGGATATACAGAACTGGGTATGCGCAGAAGGCTCACAGATGTAGGTTTGATGGCATTAAGACAGCAAGGAAATAGAGCACTTACAAGCAAGAACAGGGAGGTACGGATGCAAGCAGTACAGATTTAAAAACATAGTTTAGCACATTTGAAAATGAAAAAAAGTTCTTAAGTTTGTTTATTTATTTAAGTAATCTACACCCTCAACATGAGGCTCAATCTTACAACCCTGAGATCAAGAGTTGCATGTTCCTCCGACTGAGCAGGGCCAGGGGCCCCCAAAGAACAGGTTGGGTGTTTTTTTGTTTTTTAATTTTTTTAACTTTTATTTATTTTTGAGAGACAGAGAGAGACAGAGCATGAATGGGGGAGGAGCAGAGAGAGAGGGAGACACAAAATCCAAAGCAGGCTCCAGGCACTGAGCTGTCAGCACAGAGCCCCATGTGGGGCTCGAATCCACAAACCATGAGATCATGACCTGAGCTGAAGTTGGACACTTAACCAACTGAGCCACCCAGGCGCCCCAGTTTTGTTTTGTTTTTTAAGTTTACTTATTTATTTTTGAAAGACAGAGAGAGAGCAAGAGAGCGAGAGAGAGCGCGCACACACATACAAGCAGGGGGAGGGTGTCAGAGAGAATCCCAAGCAGGCTCTGGGCCTACATATAAAATAGTTTCTATAAATGACTAGCACTGCAATTAAAAATTGTTCACTACCCCAGACTTTGCTTTAGGTATGTCCTCCTTGGACCATAAGTCCACTGATTTATCATTTGAGGCTTCCAGGGAGAGCATATACCAAATCTCCACATATTGTCATCCCTACAATTCACATGGCTTCAAGTTTCACCAGGCGCCCACATATAATCTACCACAAGAGGGCGTCAAACTGAAATTGTTTTTACTTTAATCGAACTTTTAACAAGATGTTAAATCTTTCTGATTTACTCAAATAACTGACAAGGAACACTTAATAATCACTAACAATAATACTTAAAGTTTTATATCTAACCTGGGGCACCTGGGAGTCTGACATGGGGCTCAAACTCACAAGACATGAGATCATGACCTGAGCTGAAACCAAAAGTTGGGTGCTTACCCAACTGAGCCACCCAGGTGTCCCAGGATTTTATTAGTTTTTTAAAAAATAATTATTCCTATCTTATAGGTTTTTTTAATGTTTCTTTTTGAGAGAGAAAGCATGAGCAGGGGAGGGGCAGGAGGGTGGACACAGGATCTGAAGAGGGCTCTGCGCTGACAGCAGCAAGCCCCATACAGGGGCTTGTGAGAACCATGAGATCATGACCTGAGTTGAAGCAAGACACTCAACCGACTGAGCCAGGTGCCGCTTATTATTTTTTCAAAGGAGGAATATTCTAAGAACAAAAGCGCCCTTAGAAAATAAAAATATGATAGCAGAAAAGAAAATCTAAATCGTAGAGCTGGAAGACTAAGATAAGGAAATCTTCTATAAAAACTGAGCAATACACACATATATACACACACACACTCACTCACTCACACCCTAAAGAAGAAAAAAGGCAAAGAGGAAAACTGGAGAAGAAAGGTAAGAAAATCAGAAGACCAAAAGAGGAATGCCAATGTTCCATAAAACAATAGTACAAGATAAACACAACAGGAAAAAGGAAAGGAGGAAATTCTCGAGAGAAGTTCTCAACTGAAGGACTCAACTGCCAGGATTTGAAAGTGCCCACCAAACACCCAGTGGATGAAAAAAAAAAAAAAGACTCCTACGAGGCCACATCACTCTAAAACTGCAAAAACGCTACAAGCAAAGAGAAGATTCTAAGCTTCCAGGTAAGTCCAAACAGGTCACATACAAAGACTCAACGAACAGATTCAGATTTCTCAACAGCAGCACTGCAAGAAGACAACTGCACAAAACGCTGAGGACCTTTATAAGTGAAGGGGGGCCTGGCTGAGACTCCTCTCCCTACCTGGGGGGCTTGCCCAGGCACTGAGGAAGTTCCCGCTGTCTCCTCCACGCCCTACTCGATGTTCCTTTCACCCCACCACTGATTTTATATGATTTGACCTAATTCTGAGAGCTGGAAGAAGGCTTTGAAGACTTGAGAAGCTGAAAACACAAAGCAGCCCACTCCCTCTGATCATATTTCTACAAGATGTCAAAACCAAGTCCATACTCCGACCCTGCCTGACACGCGACCGAAGTAAATGCTCTGCTTTCCCAGACTGCCTCCTGACCTTCCCCCTGACCTGCCTGGAAGAACCTCTTGAAAACCTTCAGAAAAGCACAAGTCAGACTGTGCCCATGAGTCTGTAGAGCCTATCTTCTGGGAGACTACAACCCATGATGACAAAACCGATCAGATCCTCAGACGGCTGGTTTGTTCTTACCACTCCATTTTGTTCTTACCACTCCATTTTACGTATGAACATAGCGAAACTAAAAAGAGAAGAAGAAAATCCTAACACCAAAATCAGGCTAGGCTGTAGGCAATTTAACCAGGGGAGGGCCCACAGTGGCATCTCCCTTATAACATCCTATCTCCCATCCCAGGCAATTAATACCCTGGTGTGCAATTTGCATTTTTTTCATACACTCTTCTTTCTTTACAATTTAAAAAGCTTTTAATTTACATATTTAATGTACACATTCCTCCAAGTGAGAAATTATTTAACTATGTAACTCATTATTCAATCACAAAGGTTTATATGACATCCGCAGCCTAGCTCTGTGTTCTCAATCGTGAAGGAAACTGGCTCAATTTTAAATACAGACGAAAATTAAGGCCAGATTTACTTACATAATGAGTCGTCGGTTTAGGAACCAGTATTTCCTTCGACTTCTGTCATATCCAATAGGTTCATGTCGAATATACGGTTTATTTTTTTGGATTTCAGCAACACAGTCAGTCACACCAGGCACCTTATGCGCCACACAGACCTCACACTGCCACTCATCCTCCGGGACCTCCTCGAGGGGCGGCTTCACACACTCCAAATGGTAGACTGCCGAGCACGTCTCACAGCAAAGCAAATCCCCGAGTTTGTGACAAACCCGACAGTGGTCGTCATACTGGATCACCCCTTCGGACATCAATTCCTCACGAGCGATATTCGTGGTAAGAAACTGATCAACTAAGAACTGCAGAACCTTGATCTTGTTCTCCACGGGTCCGTAGGGATAGTCCTCCGCTTCCTGGTAGGGAAGAACGTGGTGGTACTCCTTGTCGCTCTCACAGTACACCCGCAGCACCTCCGGCCACGTCATCCCGTCAATGAAGTACAGCGTGGAATTAACGCTGTCTTTCAGATCAGCAGGTCCAAAGGTAGTATTGGAAGTGTCTTCTTCGCGCAAAACCGCTTTCAAGAGCACAACGTGCATTTCCGCCATAAGCGTGCACTGCTCTTGACTCACCAGAGCCGCACAGAAGTCCTCAAAGCGAAAAGGAGACAACCTTAAAACAGTGCCAAAGTTCCGCAGTACCTCGTAAATGGCAATAACATTCATTATATGCTCATTAGGCACCATTAAATCCTCAGAGGACTTGGGAAACTCAAGGGGTGGGATGTCTTTTTCTTCCAATATCGGAGAACGAGGCCGATGAACTCTCGGTTTTCGCCTACCTGTAAATAAAGAAATGGCGTAATTACAAATCGACCCATCATTTCTGCAAACTAAGGTTCTCTAGTTTTTCCTATCGGGACATATACTTCAAGACACAGATGAGCATACTCCGATTTTTCTAATAACTGTCAAATTAAAACAATACCAAGAAGCAACTATTTAGCTCTAATTTTTAAATCTATAAAAAAATCTGAATTCAAAGTTTTCCCATTGTATCACAAACTACAAGTAAAAAATTTTAATTGTAATCAGCTCTCAATTTTCTAGAGGGGTTAAGCTGTTTATAGGTAACCATGATAAAAAGTAACAGTGCATGTGTGAAAGATCTGAAAAGAACATAAATGAGAAAAACATCCCCATGTGAGTAAACGGGCACAAGAGAGCTCACACCGTGTCAGCTGTGATACAGAAACGGCCCTCGACACACAGACAGAAAGTTCCCTGGTACAGCACCCCTTCTCCTCTGCCAGAGGTGCTTCCTAAGAGCCAAGTACTGGAGAGTTCCACAGTGCAACACAAGGTAGGGCTGAGACAGAAAGGAAGGAGGAAGAAGTCAAAAAGATAAGAGAGGCTCACCTAGGAAACAGACACAGATTGTATGTATTTTTTAGCAGTCAGTTAAGCAATTGAAGTTACCTGATTTGAGATGTGATGCCCAGGAATATATATGCACATAGATAAATGTATCAACATACAGCACACATTTGAGAGCTTAATTTGTACAAAGCATTTAAGATCTCATCTAATTTTCTGAATGAGTCTATGAAGTATGTTAATAAACCCTACTGTATAAATAAGAAAACGTGTTGAGGGGCACCTGGGAGGCTCTTTGGTTGAGTGCCTCTTCATTTAGGCTCAGGTCATGATCCCAGCATCATGGGATCGAGCCCCACATTGGGCTCCGAGCTGAATGTGAAGTCTGCTTAAGATTCACTCTCTCTCTCTCTTTCCCTCCACCCCCCGTTTGCAATCGTTCTAAAAATTAAAAAAATTTTTTTAAAGAAAACTTGTTTCAACAAGTTTCTCTAAAACAGTTGTGCCTGTATTATTATTTTTATTATTACTTGATGTTTACAGAATAGGAAATGTATTTTTAAATATCAGAAATAATTTTAATAAGGTAAGTTAACATTAAATTCACTGTTGTACAATTAACTTCTATCAACCAAGATTTGGGATTACTGGTAACCTTTTAACTGCCTGCCCCTCCCCCATTCCTGAGCCCTCCTCACTCTGAGCTTAGTTTCATAGCTAAAAGGATGTATGGTGTCAGGAGAAAAAAAAGCATGCTAAAGAATATAAAAGGTGAAGATATTTTAACTTATGCAATGCACACCCGATATTCATTCATTAAAAAGATTTTCCAGGGGCACCTGAGTGGCTCAGTCGGTTGAGCATCCAACTTCGGCTACCTGGTCATTATCTCACAGTTCATGGGTTCAAGCCCCGTGTCGGGCTCTATGCTGACAGCTCAGAGCCTGGAGCCTGACTCAGATCCTGTGTCTCCCTCTCTGACTCTCCTCTGCTCACGCTCTGTCTCTCAAAAATAAATAAACATTAACAATTAAAAAACAAAGATTTTCCAAATAAAAATGTATTCATTACTTACTGCAGAAAAAAGTCCAAGGGATCACCCTGGGCCAGACATTGTTGTTGACCCTACATCTCGGCAAACTTCACTAAAGAGGTACCATCTACACAGATGCACTTTTCACAGAGTTAATTAAATCCCGGAATCACCGTGATAATAAGCATCATGAAGCGTAACCCAGTCCACATTACTGCCTCCAAGAAATTAGTTGGGATTCATCTGTGTAAATACAAATGAGAGAAGGGAGGGATGCCTGGGTGGCTCAGGTGGTTGAGCCTCTGACTTCAGCTCAGGTCATGATCTTCACTGCTCGTGGGTTTGAGCCCCGTGTCAGGCTCTGTGCTGACAACTCAGAGCCTGGGGCCTGCTTCAGATTCTGTCTCCCTCTCTCTCTGCCCCTCCCCAGCTTGCACTCTGTCTCTCTCTTGAAAATAAACGTTAAAAAAAAAATAATAAGATGAGAGAAAGGAGTAAAAGGGAAGGCTGAACCTAGAGGGAATCCCTCAATAAAAGAAGAAACACAAGTCCGCAAACGAGACAAAACTCCTTACAGACACAGTCCTTGCATTCCCTCAGCTGTTTATGCAAATGCTGTCAAAAAGCATCCAAGTAAAGAATTCCAGAAGGAAGGTTGGAAAGCAGTTCTAGGACCAGGATGTAGAGTCCTTAAATGTTAGCTTTAGGAGTCTGTACAGTATTTTATTCTGGCAATAATGAGGGTTGTTACAGGTTTTCTAAGCAGGGCAGGGACAAACGTAGAATGTTCCAGAAAGACTTCTCTGGCTTCACTGCAGAGAATGAACAGGACAAAGGGAACACAACAGAGACTGGGCATCTTGTGCGATTAAGCAGAAGATAAAGACCTGGATTCAGAGTTTGGGTGTAAGAACAAGAACAACAAAAAGAAGGATACGAGTGACTTACGAAGAAAGAAATCAGCTGATGTGCAGAATATACCACCACCACCTTGAAATCTAACTGTATTTATCGTTACCTTCAAAAGCTTGTTCTAACCTCCCCAGACTCTTCTGAATTCATGTAGCCTTCTAGGAACCATGTTACCTCATATTATATTACCTTTTCATGGTATCTTCCCCATCTCCCCAGCTAAATACCCAACTTTTTTTTTAAGTTTATTTATTTTTGAGAGAGAGAGAGAGAGAGCACAGGCTGGAGACAGGCAGAGAGAGAAAGGAAGACATAATCCAAAGCAGGCTCCAGGCTCAAAGCTGTCAGCACAGAGCCTAATGCGGGGCTCAAACCCACCAACCATGAGATTATGACCTAAATGAAGTCGGACAGGAAACCGACTACAACACCCAGAATTTGGCATATTTCTTTTATCAGTAGTATTTTCCCAGCATCATTCCCTTTCGAAAATTTCCCCTCCCCACACACCATGTGATTGTGATGGGGCCCCCAACCACAGGATTGCATCTCCTCCTCACCTTCACCAGCTTGGAGATAAGACCCAGGGCTGGCCAGCAAGACTCCGCCTGGGATTTTATATTCAGATGCTAAGTGAGAAGTGCTCAGAAGCTCTTTCTTTCCATGAATGAGGCCAGAGCTGTCCTTGGCTAAGCCATCTCTACTTCCCTCAGGAAGAAAGGAGTAAAGATGATGGACAGAAGCAGAAGCGAGATATAAGTACTGACAATTCTTGAGTCCTTGGCAGAACCTAACCTTTGGATTTCCAATTTATGGAAGCCAAAACCATTTCCCTTGTGCTTAAGTGAACATGTTTGTCTTCTGTCACTTGCAAATAAGAACGCTCACTAAAAAGTATCTGACACCGTATACCGCAGGCTTTTTATAATGAGAAACAATAAATTACTAAAGACTATCAATAAAAGCAGTTAATGTTAAAAAAATACTGCTGATAGGAATCTATTTTAAAGCAGTAACAGAAGTATTATCTAAATTAATGTCTAATTTTAAAGCATCAGCTTTCATACATTCTGAAAGATTTTGGATAATCATTATATACATCTGAATTTTAACGGTTATTTAACTTTGTATTATTAAGAAGCTAAAGTTGGGGCACCTGGGTGGCTCAGTAGGTTAATGTCCAACTCTTGATTTTGGCTCAGGCCACAATTCCAGGGTTGTGGGATGAAGTCCCACATCAGGCTCCCTGCTGAGCACAGAGCCTGTTTAAGATTCTCTCTCCCTCTACCCCTCCCCCAGGCTTACACTCCCTCCTTCCTCCCCTCTCTCTCTCTCAAACTTAAAAACATTCTCTGCCCCTCTCCCACTCTCTCTCTCTTTAAAAAAAAAAAAAAGGCTAAAGTCTGTTCATTTTCTGTTGGTTTTAAAGATAAAAGGAAAAAAGGCCAAAAAAAAAAAAAAGGCCTAGAAGTTCTACATTCTATATATCTAGCTAGAAACCACAAAATAGCTTCTATTCAAACTAGGACTACAGTCATACACCTACTGAACAGGGTGAGCACTTCTGAAAGTTAACATTAAAGACAGGTCAGTTTCCTCTGAAGCATTATTGGGAAAGTATAAATTGTTTCAGATTTTAAAAGGCAATTTGTCAAAATCTATCTGAATGCTTAATCCTTTGACCCTGCGATTCAACCTCCCAAAATTTATCCTACGGATATCCACACATGCATTTAAGTAAGTACAAACAAATTTAATGCAATGGTTTATGAAAGTTCAAGTTTTGGGGGTGCCTGGGTGGCTCAGTCAGTTAAGTGACTGACCTTCCTTGACTTGGCTCAGGTCGTGATCACTCGGTCGCAGGATCAAGCCCTGCATTGGACTCTGCCCTGACAGTGTGGAGTCTGCTTGGGATTCTCTCTCTCTCTTTCTCTCTCTCTATCTGTCCTGCCCCACTTGCATTCTTTCTCTCTCAAAATAAACTTCAAAAAATTTGTTTAAGTTGAAGTTTTGTGGTTTTTGTTTTAACCTGAATATACATCAATACTTAAATGAATTATGATACACTTATACAATGGCAGTTGGAAAGAACAAAGTAAAATTCATATATGCTGAAATGAAAAAAGATTATTTATTTCAAGAGAGAAGGAGAGAGAGGGAGGGAACAAGTGGGGCAGGAGCAGAGAGAGAGCGAGCGAGAGCGAGAGAGAGAGAATCCCAAGCAGGCTCCATGCCATCAGCACAGAGCCCGACACACAGGGCTCTCAATCTGACAAACTGTGAGATCATGACTTGAGCTAAAACCAAGAGTTGGACGCTTAACCAAATGGGCCACCCAGGGGTCCCAAGAACCATTAATATTTTTTAAGTTTATTTATTTATTTATTTTAGAAAGAGAGAGAGTAAAGGAGAGTATGTGTGCTCACAAGCAGGGGGAAAAGGGACAAAGAGAAAGAATCTTAAGCAGGCTCCACACCCAGTGTGAAGCCCAACATGGGGCCTGATCCCATGACCCTGGGA